TTTAGAGAATGATATGCAGGATTTTTATTTATGAATAAAACTTTCTAATTGAACGTTTCATACCTTTTACAGATTTGCTCTGATGAATAGACAGCTAATGGAACCATTTGTACCTGGTTCGTCTAAACTTTTCCCTGGTTTCTGGCCAAACTACGATTCTCGCTTCACAAGTCTTGTTCGTCCAGCAGATTTGATAAAGAGCTAACCTAAGCAAAAGACAGAAAAGAACCTTATGTCCTCGGCTGATAATGCACAAGGACCTGTTTATCTCAGTGTAAGACTTGACCTCTACTGATGACACGCAAGGACCTGTTGACATCCACTGAGGACACACAAAGACCTGTTGACATCTACTGATGACACGCAAGGACCTGTTGACATCCACTGATGACACACAAAGACCTGTTGACATCCACTGATGACACACAAAGACTTGTTGACATCCACTGAGGACACACAAAGACCTGTTGACACACAAGAACATGTTGACATCCACTGATGACACCCGAAGACCTGATGACACACAAGAACCTGTTGACATCCACTGATGACACCCGAAGACCTGATGACACACAAAGACATGTTGACATCCACTGATGACACACAAAGACCTGTTGACACACAAGAACATGTTGACATCCACTGATGACACCCGAAGACCTCATGACACACAAGAACCTGTTGACATCCACTGATATCACCCATGGAGTTATGGACATCAACTATGATGATCAATATTTCTAGATGTGCTTAAATGTAATTTATTTAAGATGAGGAAGTATGACATAATTTATATGTAATGAAAACACTGATAGTAGCCGATTGTGTCTGATTTAGTGTTGTGTCTGCTTTAGTGTTTAAAGGATATTCCTCCTGTTATTAATGTTTCAGTTTATATTTTATTGATTCTGCCCGATTCAGGTTTAATTGTTTTAGCTAGACCACCACTTGTACAGGGTATATAATGCTACGTCTCCAAAGTCAGCAAATGTGCCGTACAAGCCTACATATTGTAAAGTTACTCATTTTCTCTTTTTGAAATAAGATGACATATAACTTCTTAATGAATCACTACACAAACAGTTGCAAGATTGCACCAAACATCCGATCAAAACCGATATTTCATAAAGCATCCAAGAAGAATTAATTGTTTAATCTTATATCTTTTAATTGTGATTAACTATTACAAATGGCTTTATTGTGTTTTGTTAGAATGTGTGCAAATAAATATATACAATATTTATCATTCAGTTGTACAATTTAAACAGCAGCTAGTCTTTAACTTTTAGTTACCTTAGTATTCACCACCAAACTGTCACTTGATTGGTCAGAGAAGACAATTGGTGAGGTGTTTACGTTGTAATATTTGAGCCTTGTTTCTGTGTCTGTTTTTCACAAACATTAGTTTTGTATGTTTATATTTTTTAAAAGATCACATATCAGATATAATCAAGCTTGTGAGAATGATTTACTGGTTTAGAGTGATAATCATAATCAAGTTTATGAGAACGATTGCAATATTTGTTGGGCTCCATCCCCAGAAAGCTACCAGCCAAATACAATGTATTAAGATTCTATACCTTTCAGTTTTCAGAAGAAGTCGTCTGAAGTTTTTGACATATCCGACCCCTGTAACGTTGGAAGTAGGTCGAGGTCATTTTTGTTTACAAACTTTGTTGGGCTTCATCCCAGAAAGCTACAATTGTACCAGCCAAATATTAACATTCTATACCTTGTTTGACCCCTGTGACCTTGAAAGTAGGTCAAAGTAATTTTCTTTCTCAAATTTGTTTGGCTCTTACCAAGGAAGCTTTCAGACAAATATCATGAGTGTAGGCTTTTCCATTCTCCAGAAGTTGTTTAAAGGAAAAATTGGTGGACACAGGCATGGCATAAACTTGAATTGAAAAAAAATCATGGCATACGTAATTACCCCAATTATAAGCTTACTTGCCATATGGACAGGTGAGCTAATAATCACTCTTGATAGAATGATGTTATTAATTATGATAATCACTGTTGATAAAATGATATAATTGTGGAGAGGAATTTATGTTATTTTTGAGGAAGATTGTGAAACAGAAGTATTAGGTGACTAGTATTAGCTATCAGATGACTGTGATATACGGAGAATTGTACTTTGAATATTTCAAATGCCTGAATGTCCTCTTGTGATAAAAATAAAATAAAATCCCAATTTCTCCTAGTTCTCCTCCTTCACAAGGAAGAACTTTGTTTGAAAGACAACATTTCTATTGACCAGGGTTGGAAATATACAAGCACCTGTTTTGTATGTCACTTGTAATGAAGACTAAAAATGGCCACAATACCCAGGTTTGGTTAGGTTTTAATCCTCAGCCTCCTCATTCTGACAATCACCGTAAGTCTGTTTATTATTAGCATAGAGACTCCTGATCAGTAGGTTTTGAATGTTTCCAGTATGCCAACAATCTTTTTGAGTTGAACTGTAAATACATGTTGCAATCAAACTAAGAATATGCTCCTTTTTTTTCTCCAGAAGTCTGGCAACGAATGATTTTGAAAACTGATAAGAGAGCATGTTTTATAAAGAAAATGAGTGGCTGCCAATTGTTGGTCTAGTTGTTAAGATTGAGATCATAAAAATTCCTTTGCTGAAAACTTAACATAAGATTACTTCGCTGAAAACTTAACATAAGATTACTTTGCTGAAAACTTAACATAAGATTACTTTGCTGAAAACTTCACATAAGATTACTTTGCTGAAAACTTCACATAAGATTACTTCGCTCAAGGCTTTACTTAAAATTACTGGTTGTCTTAAGGAAACATGTACTTTACAATGCTATTTTTAATCTGTACACATTTGAACACCAGCCTTGATATTTCAGTAATTCACCAACAATTAAGAGAATCTGTTCTTCTATATTATTTCAGCATTAAGATATAACAAAGCTTTCTTATTGTTAATGATGAATGTGGTGTAGATGTTTATATCGAATGTTTTAGTTCATAAAGGGTCTATACTCATCCTTACAGGGTACATGTGCTGGTGATTAATGTGTATGTGTAAAAAGGCAGAGAGAACAAATATAGGATGTTTGTGTGAGAGGATTAGTGGTTAGGAAATGTTTGGTATGTAACTATTTTCATTTTGTTGTAATTATGCAAATGAACACTATTTTTGTATCAATATGATTTGCTTTACAGGACAATTGTAAAGGGATCAAGAAATCTATAAAACATTTTATTTCTAAATGAATGATTTTACCAAAATAAATCTATTGTTTGTTGTGTGTCAAGTCAGCATGTTGGGAGTAGATAAGCTTTTTAATTATCTCCCCTGAATATTACCGTGTTTTAAACGATCATAATAAGATGCATCATCTATTTCGAGAATTTATATGGAACATACTACCTCAAGGAACGAAACTGTTATCAGCATGAAATTCAACCAAACATGCTGCTTCAGGTGAAGTTGTCTAAATGTTGAGACTGTCAAAATCAGTCTGGTTAAAAAATCCACTATAAACAAAAAGAGTTTTTAATTTTTTATTTACCATAAAATAATCAACCAGCAACAAGCTAGTCAATAATACATGTATCACAGATGCTCAAGACAAGTAACAGCAATGCATAGATTTCTAACATTGATAACGCCCCTACAGCAATTCTACTCCCTCATTGGTGGTCAACATTAAAATACGAGGATCTCAATGGAACATCACTCAAAACATACAATTATAGAGAAAAAATCCAGGAAGCTGTTATGCAAGGCGATACTGTCACACAGCGAGATTCATCAGAAAAACGGATAGAAATTTAAAAAAATGTAATTACAAATGATCTCGGTTATACAATAGCATCAAGGATGGTTATCCTCGAGTGGCTAGGTCAGAACTATACACACTTTCAACATAAATCAAAACACAGAAAAAAATTCAAAACATAGAATTTGAAAACATTAACAACTCCCCAGCTACTGTGAAACACTTAGTACTAGTATTCAACATGGCTCTATCACACCACGTAATGCTTCATTATCTATCAACTAAAACCTGTTTAGCCATAAATTACTAGGACATAATTGTATTATGCACCAATTGATGGTTAACTTAAGGAAACAATATCTCCTGTCTACTAGCATGTCCCGGTCAGTTTCTGGTGAATCTATATCCATGGACAAGGACTTTGTAGGTGGACTGCTGAAAGTGCTAGGGTATAAAACCAGATCGCAACAATGCCTCCTCACGGTTACAGTACATTTCTAGATCATAAGGACATATAAACACGGGACGATCTTCTCATCCAACCCCTTTATTATATAATACTACCATTTCATTATCATACACAAACTTTGATTTAAGAAAAGAAAGTCGTACAGTTTTAACAAGACGGGATTTTCACTCGAACATTTATCACACAGATATGTATTTTGGGTTATATGGTTAGACGTAGTAACATAATTGGACAGTGAATTCTAACACTGGAACATTTATCACACAGATATGTATTTTGGGTTATATGGTTAGACGTAGTAACATAATTGGACAGTGAATTCTAACACTGGAACATTTATCACACAGATATGTATTTTGGGTTATATTGTTAGACGTAGTAACATAATTGGACAGTGAATTCTAATGCTGTAAAACTGGTATAATAATACCTAGCACGTGAGCAAATTTGTGACTATGGTCAATGTAAACATTAATAAGTTAAAATCCAAAAGGAAAACAAACAAAACATTAACATAATGGATGGACATTTTTTTTATAATTATAAAATAATTTATATACCTGTATGCACTATACATTAACATCCTGAATCACTCGAGATTTGAGAAAAGTAAATATTCAATATCATAAAGTTGATTTTGAGTGTATTATTGGGAGATATAGGAACACACAGAATGAGGAAATTTTAAAACAGTAACTAAGGGAGACAAACGAGAGGTACAAGTGGAATGACTGAGGAGACACGAGTGTGAGGCAGTGTGGACAGAGACAGTCGCCTGACGACATAACAGTGGAATGACTGAGGAGACACGAGTGTGAGGCGGTGTGGACAGAGATAGTCGCCTGACGACATCACAGTGGACGGACTGGTCGGATGGAAAGTTGAGTTCAGTAATGACTAGTACATAGCAGCGTGCTAACTCACTCAACACATCTACCCACAGACTGGACGAGAGACTGTGGGCACTAATCTACCATACAGCCTCACAAAGAGGCTGTCTAAACTACTCTACAGCTAAGTTGTGCAACTCCCAAAAGCTTCAAAGCTGTGTATGAGAACCTTTCTAATCATATATATTTTTGAGTATCAGAAATAATTTGAATTTAAGTTTGTAATTTGTTTTCATTCCCAAATTTACTGGTAACAATCTTAAAATTATTTACATGCCAAGTTACTTATATAAAGCAAAAAAAATAATTAAGAATACTGTCATCAAAATGCATCATCACTTTGACACTATAAAGACAATTAAGTCCTTCTGTAGCTTCTACTTGTGAGGGATTCAGTGTGGACAAAACAAACAAGAGGAACAGCACTATAGGCACAGATAGTTTGGTAGATCTTCACAAGGTGCTAGTACTGGCTACAAAAATATCACTCATAACAGTTAACGATAACGGGTCTGTACAATTTAATTGTGATCGCTTGTGGAATGTTTGGGTACAATAAATGCTTTACATGGTATGTATAACAGGACCTTATCACACAACATTAAGAGGACTCCACAGCCATTGGTACACTGTCAGTGAATTGTACGGCTTTGACAGCCAACGTTTCTGGAGGTGCTGTCACAGGTGGGTGTGGCTGTAGCGGAGGATGTGGCTCTTTGAACTCACACATTAGCTCTTGGCTGGGAGGATTTGGGGGTATTATGCGCACATTCTTTTTGGGTTTCTCAAAAGGTGGAGTTTCCTGGAATATTCGTTTCCTCTGTATCTGCATTTCCTTGTAGCGTTGGTAGTTGTCCTGGGGTGTATCTTCCCAGGCTCTATAGTCTAAGTTACTTGTGTTAAATGTGCCTCGCATTCGACGCCTGAAATGTAATAAACAAAATAGCTTTTGACTTTATACTAAGAATTTGAAGGCCACATATTGTATTATGAATAAAATACATGATCGTATGTGATTTCTGGGCCACATGAAGACCATTCATAATATCATCCTGTTAAAAGCTTACACGTTTATAAATCTGTTGTTGCTGAATTTTTTCCCCTTAATCTATAGTTTTTTTTCTTCATTTACCTGCTGGCCATGCGAGGTGTACTTTCGATGTTGTGCAGTGGCATTTCTAGCCACTTGAGGCTATCTGTGCCATGACGACCAAGTGGCACCAGAGGCAAGGGAGGTAACTTGACTTGTTCAAGGTCCTTGTCTGTATAACTATAGCCAGTGATACAGCGAAGGATAGTCCTGTCCTCAGCACTGCGTTGTCTCCCCTGAGACAACAATGGATCCCTCAGCGCAGCGGTAGACACCTGAAGCAGGTTTAGGGTGGAAATGAGAAGTTGATGTCTTACATATATATACAGACATTGTATCAGCCTTAAAAGCTGGTTATACATCATGAGGATGTATATTTTCTGAAATTAGATGCTGTCAGGACAATGAGAAGACAGAGATTTCTACACAAAGATTATCACCCAGAGTTATTATAACCATATCTCTACAATTCGTCTACAAATTACATCAAATAGTCCAGACTGATTCTACAGGTGAATATTTTATCTCTGTTAATGAACTCAATTTAATTAAGACAAAATTGCTGTGAACAGTTACTACTAGTAGCCTTTACACTTAAGAGTTATTTTTTTAACACCTTTTTTTTTCTTATTCCATTTCAAACTTGCACAATCATATTTTAAAAGGACTTCAAAAAGTACGACATCTACATCTAGTGTTTTCTTGGATGCACTGTGACATACAGGGTGATCAAAAGGTGATGAAAAAAGAAATGACATTAACTTGTACAAGTGACACATATATTCTATACAAACATTTGTAATATGTTGTCCAACCAATGTTAATATGCTATAGTCTCCTGAAGCATTCAATATCAACCACTCCTTGTAAAGTTGTAGTCTAACACATGGAACACAGAACCACCACCCGGTTACATGAACAGCTTTGCCAGTGTGTTAGAACTGATGACGGCAATAACATTTAACATACAAGGACATTGTTGACATACCTGACAGCATAGTCTGTCCTACCTGACACCACTAATCATAGAATTTAGTCACATCATATCCTAAACTGCCCACAGTCTATCTAAATCCAGACATAATGAATGACTGGTCACTAAGGTCTTTTAATCCCTAGTCACCGTCTGTAGCTAAATTCAGACATTCCCTCCCCCAGTATGTCTAAATTCAGACATTCCCTCCCCCAGTTTGTCTAAATTCAGACATTCCCTCCCCCAGTTTGTCTAAATTCAGACATTCCCTCCCCCAGTTTGTCTTAATCAAGACATTCCCTCCTCCAGTCAGTTTAAGTCCAGACATTCCCTCCCCAATCAGCCTAAATCCAGACATTCTCTCCCCCAGTCAGTCTAAATCCAGACATTCCCTCCCCCAGTCAGTCTAAATCCAGACATTTCCTCCCCCGTCAGTCTAAATCCAGACTTTCTCTTCTCCAGTTAATCTAAATCCAGACATTCCCTCCCCAAGTCTGTCTAAATCTAGACTTTCTCTCCTCCAGTTAATCTAAATCAAGACATTCTCTCCCCAGTCAGTCTAAATCCAGACATTCCCTCCCCCAATCAGTCTAAATCCAGACATTCACTCCCCCAGTCAGTCTAAATCCAGACATTCCCTCCCCCAGTCAGTCTAAATCCAGACATTTCCTCCCCCGTCAGTCTAAATCCAGACTTTCTCTTCTCCAGTTAATCTAAATCCAGACATTCCCTCCCCAAGTCTGTCTAAATCTAGACTTTCTCTCCTCCAGTTAATCTAAATCAAGACATTCTCTCCCCAGTCAGTCTAAATCCAGACATTCCCTCCCCCAATCAGTCTAAATCCAGACATTCACTCCCCCAGTCAGTCTAAATCCAGACATTCCCTCCCCCAGTCTGTCTAAATCCAGACATTCCCTCCCCCAGTCTGTCTAAATCCAGACATTCCCTCCCCCAGTCTGTCTAAATCCAGACATTCCCTCCCCCAGTCTGTCTAAATCCAGACATTCCCTCCCCCAGTCTGTCTAAATCCAGACATTCCCTCCCCCAGTCTGTCTAAATCCAGACATTCCCTCCCCCAGTCTGTCTAAATCCAGACATTCCCTCCCCCAGTCTGTCTAAATCCAGACATTCCCTCCCCCAGTCTGTCTAAATCCAGACATTCCCTCCCCCAGTCTGTCTAAATCCAGACATTCCCTCCCCCAGTCTGTCTAAATCCAGACATTCCCTCCCCCAGTCTGTCTAAATCCAGACATTCCCTCCCCCAGTCTGTCTAAATCCAGACATTCCCTCCCCCAGTCTGTCTAAATCCAGACATTCCCTCCCCCAGTCTGTCTAAATCCAGACATTCCCTCCCCCAGTCTGTCTAAATCCAGACATTCCCTCCCCCAGTCTGTCTAAATCCAGACATTCCCTCCCCCAGTCTGTCTAAATCCAGACATTCCCTCCCCCAGTCTGTCTAAATCCAGACATTCCCTCCCCCAGTCTGTCTAAATCCAGACATTCCCTCCCCCAGTCTGTCTAAATCCAGACATTCCCTCCCCCAGTCTGTCTAAATCCAGACATTCCCTCCCCCAGTCTGTCTAAATCCAGACATTCCCTCCCCCAGTCTGTCTAAATCCAGACATTCCCTCCCCCAGTCTGTCTAAATCCAGACATTCCCTCCCCCAGTCTGTCTAAATCCAGACATTCCCTCCCCCAGTCTGTCTAAATCCAGACATTCCCTCCCCCAGTCTGTCTAAATCCAGACATTCCCTCCCCCAGTCTGTCTAAATCCAGACATTCCCTCCCCCAGTCTGTCTAAATCCAGACATTCCCTCCCCCAGTCTGTCTAAATCCAGACATTCCCTCCCCCAGTCTGTCTAAATCCAGACATTCCCTCCCCCAGTCTGTCTAAATCCAGACATTCCCTCCCCCAGTCTGTCTAAATCCAGACATTCCCTCCCCCAGTCTGTCTAAATCCAGACATTCCCTCCCCCAGTCTGTCTAAATCCAGACATTCCCTCCCCCAGTCTGTCTAAATCCAGACATTCCCTCCCCCAGTCTGTCTAAATCCAGACATTCCCTCCCCCAGTCTGTCTAAATCCAGACATTCCCTCCCCCAGTCTGTCTAAATCCAGACATTCCCTCCCCCAGTCTGTCTAAATCCAGACATTCCCTCCCCCAGTCTGTCTAAATCCAGACATTCCCTCCCCCAGTCTGTCTAAATCCAGACATTCCCTCCCCCAGTCTGTCTAAATCCAGACATTCCCTCCCCCAGTCTGTCTAAATCCAGACATTCCCTCCCCCAGTCTGTCTAAATCCAGACATTCCCTCCCCCAGTCTGTCTAAATCCAGACATTCCCTCCCCCAGTCTGTCTAAATCCAGACATTCCCTCCCCCAGTCTGTCTAAATCCAGACATTCCCTCCCCCAGTCTGTCTAAATCCAGACATTCCCTCCCCCAGTCTGTCTAAATCCAGACATTCCCTCCCCCAGTCTGTCTAAATCCAGACATTCCCTCCCCCAGTCTGTCTAAATCCAGACATTCCCTCCCCCAGTCTGTCTAAATCCAGACATTCCCTCCCCCAGTCTGTCTAAATCCAGACATTCCCTCCCCCAGTCTGTCTAAATCCAGACATTCCCTCCCCCAGTCTGTCTAAATCCAGACATTCCCTCCCCCAGTCTGTCTAAATCCAGACATTCCCTCCCCCAGTCTGTCTAAATCCAGACATTCCCTCCCCCAGTCTGTCTAAATCCAGACATTCCCTCCCCCAGTCTGTCTAAATCCAGACATTCCCTCCCCCAGTCTGTCTAAATCCAGACATTCCCTCCCCCAGTCTGTCTAAATCCAGACATTCCCTCCCCCAGTCTGTCTAAATCCAGACATTCCCTCCCCCAGTCTGTCTAAATCCAGACATTCCCTCCCCCAGTCTGTCTAAATCCAGACATTCCCTCCCCCAGTCTGTCTAAATCCAGACATTCCCTCCCCCAGTCTGTCTAAATCCAGACATTCCCTCCCCCAGTCTGTCTAAATCCAGACATTCCCTCCCCCAGTCTGTCTAAATCCAGACATTCCCTCCCCCAGTCTGTCTAAATCCAGACATTCCCTCCCCCAGTCTGTCTAAATCCAGACATTCCCTCCCCCAGTCTGTCTAAATCCAGACATTCCCTCCCCCAGTCTGTCTAAATCCAGACATTCCCTCCCCCAGTCTGTCTAAATCCAGACATTCCCTCCCCCAGTCTGTCTAAATCCAGACATTCCCTCCCCCAGTCTGTCTAAATCCAGACATTCCCTCCCCCAGTCTGTCTAAATCCAGACATTCCCTCCCCCAGTCTGTCTAAATCCAGACATTCCCTCCCCCAGTCTGTCTAAATCCAGACATTCCCTCCCCCAGTCTGTCTAAATCCAGACATTCCCTCCCCCAGTCTGTCTAAATCCAGACATTCCCTCCCCCAGTCTGTCTAAATCCAGACATTCCCTCCCCCAGTCTGTCTAAATCCAGACATTCCCTCCCCCAGTCTGTCTAAATCCAGACATTCCCTCCCCCAGTCTGTCTAAATCCAGACATTCCCTCCCCCAGTCTGTCTAAATCCAGACATTCCCTCCCCCAGTCTGTCTAAATCCAGACATTCCCTCCCCCAGTCTGTCTAAATCCAGACATTCCCTCCCCCAGTCTGTCTAAATCCAGACATTCCCTCCCCCAGTCTGTCTAAATCCAGACATTCCCTCCCCCAGTCTGTCTAAATCCAGACATTCCCTCCCCCAGTCTGTCTAAATCCAGACATTCCCTCCCCCAGTCTGTCTAAATCCAGACATTCCCTCCCCCAGTCTGTCTAAATCCAGACATTCCCTCCCCCAGTCTGTCTAAATCCAGACATTCCCTCCCCCAGTCTGTCTAAATCCAGACATTCCCTCCCCCAGTCTGTCTAAATCCAGACATTCCCTCCCCCAGTCTGTCTAAATCCAGACATTCCCTCCCCCAGTCTGTCTAAATCCAGACATTCCCTCCCCCAGTCTGTCTAAATCCAGACATTCCCTCCCCCAGTCTGTCTAAATCCAGACATTCCCTCCCCCAGTCTGTCTAAATCCAGACATTCCCTCCCCCAGTCTGTCTAAATCCAGACATTCCCTCCCCCAGTCTGTCTAAATCCAGACATTCCCTCCCCCAGTCTGTCTAAATCCAGACATTCCCTCCCCCAGTCTGTCTAAATCCAGACATTCCCTCCCCCAGTCTGTCTAAATCCAGACATTCCCTCCCCCAGTCTGTCTAAATCCAGACATTCCCTCCCCCAGTCTGTCTAAATCCAGACATTCCCTCCCCCA